TGTGCAGGAGGCAGCTGATGGATGTTTCTCTCTCATCAATGTTTCTAGCTCTCTATCCCTCTCCCTTCCTCTCTGTAAAAAAATCAATAAAATAAAAAATATCCTCGTGTGAGAATTTAAAAAACGACAACAATAAAAGCATATCTTCAGATGAGGATAACAAAAAATTGCCAGTTCTGGGCAAATGCAAAGTCTGATTTCAGGGTGGTAATGTTGGCAGATTCTGTTTGGCCAATCGTTTCTCCAGCACATTCCTACTACCACACACTTACTATTTAGTAAGGAGATGTTACCCGCGGTTTTCCCAGTTTCAAGCTCAGCTCTGCCTAGAATCTTCCATGCCTCCAGGCCATTAAAGAGGGCGTGGAGGGATGACATGATCACCAAGTGCAGAACCGCTTAATCCCAGACGGTGTCCCCCCCATCAGACCGATCTCAGTTCTGCCACCACTAACTAACTTTGCGCCCTAGCTTTGCGCCCTGAGCAAATCTCTCTGCCCCTCCCAAAGACCAAAATGAATAGGCCTCCTGTGCTTAGCTGACCCTAATAAGACATCCCTGACTTGTAGGGTCTTGAGAAATTAACTTACCTGGCCCTCAGAGTTATCACCTTCACCATAAGGACATGCGGCTAACTGACCTCACGGCCCCTCCCAGGGTCACTTTCTCTGAGTCCATCTAAACCAGTTTCTCCATTCAGGGAGGTGTGGGAAGGTTGCGTCTGAGATAATGGTAACTCATATCAAGGAGAACCGGACAGTGAGCACTTGGAGAAATGGGGCTGGGATTCCGTGTGAAAAGAAGAGGGTCTAGAAATAGATTTTGAGGTGACAGTGAGGCCATGAGAATAAAGGAGCTCCCCAAAGAGAAGGTGTAAGGAGCAAAGGGTCAGCGACAGCCTTAGAAGAAGTGGGGGCAGGAAGAAAAGATGTCAAAGACGTGAGACGACCTTCAGTGTTGAGCAGAGTTTTTAGAGAAAAAGGTTCCCAGAAACAGAGATGTCATTTTGACATCATTTTGTTCCTAACGAGGAATTCTCTATCACCATTAATCAATGCGCGTCCCCCACTGACCGAAGCCCTGACTCTCTCCAGGCCGTGAAGCTTCACGGGGGCATCGACATCCTGGTCTCCAACGCGGCCGTCAACCCTTTCTTTGGAAACCTCATGGACGTCACCGAGGAGGTGTGGGACAAGGTAAGAGGGGCTAAAGCCCAAGGTGCGGGCCTCAGAGAGCAGCGCAAACTCAGCCTGCCTTTACCAGGCATTTGTCGGGTGCCATGTGCTGGTAAATGTGAGGAATCCTTGGGATGTGCACCTGGGAAAGGGCTGGTGGGCTGGTGGCTTCCTCTCTCCCTGCCCAGCTCTTTCATTGCTGCTTCTCTCGGTCTTGTCTTCTTCCATTTGCTCCTTCCTAGCGACCTTCTTCCCTGCACCCCGGGCTTCACTGTGCCCTTCCCCAGGTGCTTCTCCCTGGTTTATCTCCAGCAGACACGGCAGCTCATCTGCCAATAACTGAGACATTGAAATTTGCGCACCACCTGTCCCCTTGTTCAGCTGCCAAAAAAGAGTATTTCTCATGAGTTGGAAAACTTTAATAGCTGCTCGTTCAGTGAGATACCAATTCTGGTGAAATGACCTAAGTTGCTGCTTTATAACATACAGCTTCTGAAAAAGACCTGCGCTCTTTTCTTCTTAACTGCAACAAGTGAATTGGAGATCCCGCTGTCCAAATTCAGGTGTGGAATTTTGGGTTTTATGTGAATGTGTATAATCACACTACATTTATAATATATTTCGCTCACCTACATTCTTTAATTATAAAGCCTTCATTAAAATATCTGTCTTTGTTTATTAAGGTTAATATTCCCACATGATTTGGAAATGCCGGGTTTTTCATAGTTGCCCCTGGTTTTGCTTTTCTTCTGATGTCATCAATATCTCAACACTGAATTTAAGAATACTAAAATATCGTAGTTTATCAGTGTTTCACAGACAGACCAAAGTGCCAACTGTTCTTCAGTGAGTCGGTTCCTGATTGATATTCTTTAAAGTAGAAAAACATCTTTCATGAGCAGTCTGAATGGAGACCACAGGAAAATAATTTTAAACCAAGTAATTTTTCGTTTTAGTTTGCATTAAAAAAAATATATATCACAGTACATCAAATCTAAATGCCAGGGTTGATTCTTGATCAAACCTTGGGTTTTTCAAATAAGAACAAATGGGATGCCGCCAGTGTTGCTCAGTGGTTGAGCATCAACCTATGAACCAGGAGGTCACGGTTCGATTCCGTGGTCAGGACACATGCCCAGGTTGGGGCCTCTATCCCCAGTAGGGGGCGTGCAGGAGGCAGCCGATTGATGATTCTCTCTCATCATTGATGTTTCTATCTCTCCCTCCGTCTCCCTTCCTCTCTCTGAAATCAATAAAAACGTGTTTAAAAAAAAAAGACATAAGGGAGACAATTGGGGAAATCTTATTATGGGCAGCACGTTCGATAAAAATCATTATAATCAGTGTTAAATTTCTTGGGTGTGATCATGGATTATAATCTCTTAGAGAATATCCATAAGTATTAGTGTTAGAGCATTATGACATCTGCACCTTAACCTTCAGTGGTTCAGGGAAAAACACAGTCAGGGCAAATGGGACAAAATGTGAACCATTGATGAACTAGGCAAAAGATATCCATTGTACTTCTTTTTCAACTTTTCTGTACGATTGAAATTTTTCAAAATAAGAGTTTGCCAGGGGGCGTGGGAGGGGACTACCTTGGCAGCAGTGTGATGTGTTTGTTTTAAATTATGGGTGTGCGGTTTTGATTCCAGCCTGTGCCCCAGCTTCCCCAAAATGATCCCACTCCTCCTCATAACCCCACTTTCCAACAAATGTTCAGCCAGACAGTCCACCCTGGAGGGCCAGGAGCATCGCAGTCCCTGAGCTCAGGAGCCAGAGCAGTCAGCACTGGAACGCCCCAAGGGCCCCAGGTCAGGCCACATTTTCCCTGAGAAGCACGGCCCACTCCATGGCAGATCCCAGGAGGCCCACCTCATTCCAGGCTCTCCCTAATGAGAAGAAACAGAGAAAATCCGGCTAAAATCCAACAGAGCCCTGAGAGTTTAGGTCCATTCTAGGCCAGATCACACTTGGCTACTTAGGAAACAAGAGGAACCAGGCTCCATTCTTTCTCACCAAGGCCTAATTTTCGTTCTCTCACTGAATACGCTGGTGAGAGACACTTCTTTCTCCCTGGGCCTTGGTTTCTTCGCTTGTAAGGTCCCGGAAGTCATCTCCAAGATCTCCACCAGCCCCAACAGGCAGATCCGAGAGAACGTATTCTGAGTGCACATCACCCTGCCCTCTCCAGCTCTCCCCTCATGCTGCTCCCCTTCTTCTCCCGGTTTCAGATTCTGGACATTAATGTGAAGGCCACAGCCCTGATGACAAAGGCAGTGGTGCCAGAGATGGAGAAACGAGGGTACGGAGAAGGAGAGGGAGCCTGGGTGTGACGGGCCCCACGTGGTCTGAGGGCGGGGGTCTCTGCTGGGAAGAGGGTCATTCTCTTCTCTTTCCAGAGGCGGCTCAGTGGTGATTGTGGCCTCCATAGCAGCCTACACCCCGTTTCCTGTAAGAGCCCCTTCCTCTGCTACTTCCACCTGCACCTTTCCACCCTCCAGTCACCCGAAGAAGTTTGTGTCCCCTTTTGCAATCACCCCACCAAGTCCCTTCCCATAAAACAGATGCCCGGCCTCCACGAACCCCAGCATTGGGGAGGGTCAGCCTCAAGACCGTTTTCTAACTGCGACCCTCCATTACAGGAGATGCCCTGTTATCTACTGCCCTTTTATGTCTTCCAATAAGAACCAAGAATGAACCAAAAACAAAGAGACTAACCCATTTTTCCTTTCCCCAGGGCTTGGGCCCTTACAATGTCAGTAAAACAGCCTTGCTGGGCCTCGGCAAGAACCTGGCCATAGAACTGGCCCAAAGTAACATAAGGGTGAACTGCCTGGCGCCCGGAATCATCAAGACTAACTTCAGCCAAGTGGTGAGGAAGGGCTGTCCTGCATCCTGCTGAGAGAGCTGGCGCCGCCTGGGTCCTGAGCTCCCAATCACCCCTGCTCCCCTCCCCAGCCTTTCTGTCGCCCCCTCCGTGCCAGCCACCTGTCAGGACCAGACCCGTTCTTTCTCCGGGTGTTCAGTGGAGACTGAGAAATTCAGACTCTATTCACACCGTTTCATATCTCCTTAAGTGGGTGGGAATGGAGAGACCCAGTGAAGTGCCTCACTAGAATCTGAAAAGAATGAACAGAAGAGGGCAGTGGGGAGATGCTGGGGGCTAGGAAGAACTGGGAAGTGGAAGAGGGCCTCTCTCTACCCTTCCTCTCCCGCAATGTGAGGGCGGGCTGTTTCCCCCCTGCCTGGCCCCCTTTCTGCGTCTTTCACATAAAGGGATTCCCTTTTCCTGCAGTTGTGGATGGACAAGGCAAGAGAGGAGGCCTTAAAAGAAGCCTTGCGGATAAGAAGGTGAGGTGTCACAGAGAGAGTTAAGAGGGATAAAGGTGGGGGAAGATACGGCCCCTCACACAGCGCGCATGGCGTGTCTCTTGGTCCCACAGACAGCAGGGGCATGCTCTCCTCTGCCTCAAACACTCACACTGCACAAGCTTATGAACACTGCCCCACCACAGGGAGGGGCGGGGCGACGTCCGCTTCCATTGCAAAAGCAAACACAGATGTGCCCAGGTTTCAGTAAAGAATAGCTCTGGGAGAGGCCCTGACTCCTCTCTCCAGCTGGCTGCTTGCCACCACCTCTAGGCATCCCTAGCTACTAGGGACCAAAACCAAAACATGCTCTTTTAGTTCCCTTTGAATAAAAAGTCATGTGTGCTTTTGAAAGTCATGTTTTCAAAGCTCAGGTTGATGGTCCTACAACCCAAATAAAAGGACTGAAGAGCTTTTACTAAGTCCCAAAACTCCCCTTGCCTAAGAAAACTGGCCTCCGCCCCAAGGGGCTGGACGAACTGTTCCAGCACCTTCATCTGGCTCCCTTTCCTCCAGGTTCCCTGCCTCTCTCCAACATCGGGCTTCTAGGAACTCTTGTCTTCAGCTTCTCCATCTTGTCCCTCAAGGCCTAGTTGTGCAAACAGGCCAACTTAAGGGAGAAGACTCCCCCCAGTGCTCCCAAAGCATCTGATGTCAGCATGAGCTGCAGGCCTAGTCCACAACTCACTAATAAGCCGGGGTATTGTCTTCCTAGCGCCCCAGTGATTCACTAGCTTATGAAACTACAGATGGGCAGGCCCCACTCCCAAAGATGATCTTTTTTATTATTGCTGAGAGAGAGAGAGAGAGAGAGAGAGAGAGAGAGAAACTTCAATTCGTTGTTCCATTTATTTATGCATTCACTGGTTTCTTGTTTGTGCCCTGACTAGGGATTGAACCCACAGCCTTGGCTACTGGGTCAAAGCTCTAACCAACTGAGCTACCAGCCAGGGCCCAAAGATTCTTTTTTATTGGTCCAAGGCAAGTCCTGGGCATCTTTTGGGCAGGGGTGGGGGGAAGGAGGCAGGAGGTGTTAAGCCTTCCTGATGATTATAATATACAACTAGGATGAAGAACCACTAATCTGGGTTTGAGATACGCACTCTGCCCCACCTCTAGAGAACTCGGACAGTTATGTTAAAGTGTTCCCAACTAAGCAATCACTGATACAAACACTGAGAATTAGCACATTCTCACAAAATGAGCCTGACTCTAAGGGACAAAAATAGATTCCTGAAAATGTTATCTGTGAATTAAAGCTGTGCAAATGGAGTCATTTTAAACAACCCATTTACTATCGCACAGACTCCCCGACACTTGACTAGTATGCACACATGTGAAACAAAGTATTTGAAGTATAAAAGAGCTGCTCACAGGTTTATCTATAAAATCTTGGATTTGGGTGTCCTGAGTTCTCTAAAGAACAAAGTATCTCTGTTATTTGAATATAACTTATAGTGGTTTTCTCAGAGTACAGTACTTATGCTTATACTAAATTGTAACAGCTTATCATCATGATAACCCAATTTGATGGACCTGTACACTGGTCCTGAAAAAATCATCTGATACTTATTGATTAAGTAAACTCCATTCTCTGTAGGGGCCTGGCCTGTTTGATTTTTACCCCTTCTTTGTCTTCCCTGCACCCCAGGTTAGGCACGCCAGAAGACTGTGCAGGCATTGTGTCTTTCCTGTGCTCCGAAGATGCCAGCTACATCACTGGGGAAACAGTGACCGTGGCTGGAGGGGCCCCCTCCCGCCTCTGAGTACCTGGAGAGAGTCTACCAGGGCAGAGGTTGGGCTTCAGCCCCTATCGGGTTCCAGCACTAATCCACCAGCCTTTACCACCTCTATCACACTGCTCACCTTTCCCCGCCCCCTAAAATCAGCTACACCCTGTGACAAGATCCAGCCTTCCCTGCCATCGAGGTTTGGTCTTCTGAGGATTCCTGTTGTTGCTGTAGCCTTGGATAAAGACTTCCCCTGAGGACACAGGATAGGCCTGCTGAGTAGGCTGAGTCTACGTTGGCAAAAAATATACTTTTTTATTTCCTGGCAGGGGGCAATTTGAGGGAGTTGGGAGAGAAGGGCCTGGAGTTGAAGGAAGGGCTGGGAAGGTTGAAAATTAATTTGCAAATGAGGTGCCAATAAAATGCAGATGATCGTGTTGCTTTAACTCAGTGTGTTCATTTTTTAGTGTGGGGTGCACAGGTGTGGTAGCTGAGCAGAGAGCATAAGTCTGAGTGAACTGGATCTCTGGGTCCCCTAACCTTCCTCCCCGTCTCCAGGACCTGAGCGTGCTGCTCGGAGTGGAGGTGTCTGCAGAGCTGCCAGCTGGAAGGAGGCGGCATGGGAACTCCCAGAGCGCCACAGGGATCCCCAAGGCCGGGCAGCAGGAGAGGAAGGACGAGCTCCCCCAGATTTGGCCAAGTCCTCTCCTGGCATTGCCCTGGGCCCCGAGTTCCCTCGCAGGTCCGCGAGGGCGAGCTGGACCGCCCGAACAAACGGGAAAAGGAAGGGGCTTTGCAAGGATGATCGGGGTACCCAGACCCACGAACAAAAGACATGGGTTTTGCTCCTGATGCTCGAGGAGTGTGTGGCACGCAAGGCGGGGATGCTGTCCCCCGCCTACGAGATGGCCCGGGCTCCTGGCAACACGCACCAGGCGTCGCACGCGGGAGCAGGCAGGAGGGGTGGGCGCGAACGC